GTACATATTTTCAATGTGTCATGACCGTATGAAAAATTTTTAGTGAAATAAAATAATGAGACAGTAACTACTCAGTGCAACAAAATCACAATTCATAGTGCAAATTACACAGGTGAAATTGAAGCCTCTCAAAGAGGGTATTAACTTTACCATAATCACATATGCATCTATATCATTGTAATCACTAAAGATCTGTACCAATCGGTTTTAATCTGCCTCAGAACGCGATAGAATTTCAATTACAGTTACATATATGAATTACAGAATGGTTGTATAAAGCAACTGTTGTTTTCAATTGAAGAAGAGAGACGTGTTTAGATGCATGGAATTTCACTGTTATTAGCAACTCTACTAGTAGACGTGCAAAATGTTTTCCGTTTGTGTGTACACCTTTCATTACTTCAGATGTATTTCAATGTCGACAAGATAATTGTCCTACCCATTGTCATATTAATTAATATTGTTGTACATTTGCTGTATTATTTTATTAATACTTACCCTATCATGCTACTAAAACTTGATAAACTATCTCTTGGGAAAACATATTTAAATATGCTTCATGTATTTTACTGTACGCATAGTTTCAAATATGTACATGAACTACAATCTACTTGGCTTGTTTTGATTGCATTCAGAAACCAAATCGATTTTGAGTCTAATTCCACCTTGGCCTTAAACGCTTTATCAATACATTATACAAACAATGTTATACCGTCTATATTTCTACACACGAGATCACCCATATTTTAATAGCCTAGGCAAATTTATTATTTTGCCTTTGATTTACCTGCTTTGTCCTGATGATTTGAATATCATACCGTTTTTATCAGACCTTTTAGAATTTTTCCAGAGTAGGATATATTCTGATCTAAAAAAGCGTTATATGACTAACATCTTTTTAAATAGAGATGTAATTTAAAAACGTTCAAAACAAATAACCCAACAGCTAAGATTAACTATTATCAGTCCTTCATCAGTATGTTGTTATATAGTTTGGTAATACATCTAAGTATACCATAAATGACAATTACATAGCGAGCAAAAACATAAGACTGCTTTGCGTTCAAATCATGCTAATGAATGTTAAGGTCTAATTCATTAGACTATTTAATTAAGCATCGGTAGAAAGCAAACATTAGTTTACAATATATGTTTACCTAATAGATCCTTCATTTGTGGTATCGTATAATTGATAGACGGGGTGTATTTAAAAATTGTAATATTTTAATAGTGGCATCTAAACACTATTTTAGTTATATATAATATAGATCATTAACAATAATATGTTCATTTCCATGTGATAGCTTTTCGAAAATGGAACTTTTAAACACATTCACCTTATCAGTGCATTATAGATATTATAAGTACAACTATAACTATTATTGATCGTTCCGAAAGCAAACATATTAACTATGTTATTTCTTATACCGTACTGGTGTAGCCGCAAAAACCGAATTATCGATCTATGTTAGACTCTTGCATATGCAAAGAATTGACCAAAAATGTGTTGCCATCCGTAAATTTGGATATTCGAAAATATAGTTTTATCGTCTGCAAATTTGGATATGCGAAAATATCTCCTAGTTAACTCAAGATGAACAAATATTACAAACGGTCTGGCAACAGACAACGTATAGTGTCTCAGTAGACATAATATACAATGCAACTTTTATCGCCACATTAACTGTACATATATTGAGATTCACTATACATATATTGACTATACATTCACTATACATATATTGAGATATAAACATTCACTATACATATACTGAGCTATTCTATCAGTACAATCTTGGAGCCTATACTTAGTAAAGCACTTTTTTTACTGTTGGAAGGAATAAATCCTATATTGTAACAGCAATTTTTAAGAAAAGGTTAAAAAACGTGACTTTTATTTCATCATTTTATTTAACTGCACAGTGGCTAAATGACCAGTCAGTCTCAATATATACTTTTAATTCTGATGTAACTATCTTTCCGTTTAGCTGAGAAATATTACATAAACGGAATGTGACAATGCATAAGCACTATTGCATCTTTAATCGACCTTATTCAAACAAGAGATTCAATGACCAGGGGTAGAAATTTATTTCCATACTGTCTCAGTTTGTGATGATACTATGATTAACTTGTTTGTTAACTATTGCAGTTAATCTTTTACAAAGCGATGTCAGATACAAAATCCTGTTATGCGGTAGTACTCATTTTGCCAAAATCAACTCTCACTAACGTCTTATAACCAACAAATGTTCGTGTTCATCTATTTGAAAATTGTGCGGCAGTTTACATTATGATAGTTCTCTCAGTCGTTATTCACAATAAACAATATATTTAAAAAATAACAAAAGAGGTGAGGACTTGATACAAAAATAGTCTCAAAAGCATTCTAGTTTCTAGAACATTCTGAATTGATTTTCTACAAATGGAAAACATAAGGATAGTATCGGTAAGGTTAAGCGTTGTACTTGCCCCAATTGATCTCGCTCACGACGTGTTAGCATATCTTTCATAAAAATGTCATACAATCTTTTTCAACTGATTAAAACTATGGTGGGCAAAAAGGCCACTGGTGGACAAATAGGCCACTGGTGTGCAAATAGGCCACTGGTGGGCAAGTAGTCTAAAGCTCTCGCCTTTGCCAATAACTTCCATCACACCTCTGTATGCCCGGGTTCGAGTCTCGGGCATAGCCAAATATGGGCATGTGAAACAATTTTCAGTAGTCTCAGTAGCTACAGGCTAATTGCTGCTCTTACCGGTTTTTTTCTCAGGTTCTTCCTCCACCAGTTATAAAGGCCGCTATGATTAACCTTTCTTGTCTGATAGATGGCATTAAATCCACAAGAAGAAGAAGACCAAGAACAATTTATTAAATTTAGTGTGAATGAATTAAGGAACCCTAATAAAATAAGGCATATTTACTATCTATATTTAGCTTGTTTTCAATGATTTGTGTGCCTATATGGTCTGCCTTGAAACTATATATATACGAAAAAACTATCTCGTGCTTAGTCTATCCTTCTACAACTTACATTCGACATTTTTGCTCACTGATATAGCTGTTAAAGCTTCCGAATGACGATAACTGCGTCGCTCAGCTGATGCATAGTACAGGAATATTAATAGCAGTATTTGTCAGCACTTATCATAATTGAATAGTTGTCCAATGCCGATAATTCTCATATAGTAACAATGAACGTTTGTTATTAAAAAATGTAATGTGATATTACTGACATGCCATTCAGATACATGAACAGAACAATTGCATCACTGGCCAAGCATACCTATCTCGGGAATCGATATGATTCCTATTAGCTGAGATGGAAAGTGAGTGCCTTTAGATACAACTGTTTAGGTGATTTAAATAGGATAATACTTTGGATTCAGCACCAAACGGACACAAATGCTTTTCATTTGCGAAATCTGAAACTAATAGGTTAATAGCTGTTTGATAATTGCATGTAATTAAGCAATGCATTTTCTGCCAATATCAATTACAAGCTATATTTAATTACAATTTATCTAAATAAATAACATTCCGCGCCTTTGGGGCATCATGCAAGATTTCATATTCTTAGATACTTGTCAAGAATTCAGAATGTACGAAACACGTTGATATGAGCGCTGTGGAGACATTCTGATGTTATGGTCTCTCTCTCTCTCTCTCTCTCTCTCTCTCTCTCTCTCTCTCTATATATATATATATATATATATATATATATATATATATATATATATATATATATATATATATAGATGCAATAAACTGACGACGAACAGTACGAAACTAGTAACTAACTAGCCTAAGCGCTTTCGACTCTTAATGAGTCTTTTTCAAAGGCAAATACAAAACAGAGTTACGACAAACAAATAAACACAAAAACGTTGCGTTTGTAAACCTCTACATTTCTATCTTCACATGTGCTAAAACTATAAATACAACCAGCTTGTATAGACTAGTTGCGGAAACTGAAAACGTTGTATAATTTCCTAAAAGTCTACAAGCCAAAGCGACATCTATTTTTACTTTGTGTACATATGTAACGCAGATTATATCCCGGATATTTGGTTCTATACCGGTTATTCTTATAGTAAAAATTGAAGGATAAGAAGATTTAGAAAATGTTAAATTCTACTAGTGCATAGTTTTCATTTTCTAGTCTTCTTGGTTTAGACTGCTTGGTTTCAATGTTCTAAGGCGGCGTATCCAGTATGATTCCTTTTCCTTCCTGGTTTCGGAACTCCAGCTGTGGTTGTTGGCAATAGCGATAAGTATCATATCACTGAAAGTGTGGCCAGGGGAGGAGAAGTGTTCTGCGACCGGGCTTCTGTACAGCTTTTTTGTCATCCAATCAGATCTATGAAGGTTTATCCTTATGTGTAGCTTTTCAGTTTCTCCCACGTACTGAAGGCCACAAATCTTACATGTGATGAAATAAATCACATTCTCTGTTTTGCACGTTGCAAGGAAGGAAAAGACTCATTAAGAGTCGAAAGCGCTTAGGCTAGTTAGTTACTAGTTTCGTACTGTTCGTCGTCAGTTTATTGCATCTATTTTAATTAATCCCTGACAAACGTGATCCCTCGGTGGATCCAGTACGCTTGAGAGGGTTGTTATTCGCCATATGATTTGTATTCTTTATATATATATATATATATATATATATATATATATATATATATATATATATATATATATATATATATATATATCGAATGACAGAACTGATGCTCTATCCTTTCATTTTACTGATGTGATGTGACGTGATTATGATTTTTAACGTAGCTTTAACAATTTTCAGTCATATCGCTACGATGTATGCAGTGTGGCAGTTTATAGTGATGTCTAGCATTGGGGCATCATGCCGCAGACATGTAGCATGAAGTCCTACCCAGTCACATTATCCTGACACCAGGTTGACCAGTCTTAACAATAACCTCTTAATGCTGAGCGTCTAGCGAGGCAGCTGTTAGTACCATTTTTGTAAATCTTTGGTATGACTCGACCGGGGATCGAACCCACGACCTCCCGCTTCTGAGGCGGATGCTGTAACCACTAGGCCACGGAAACCAACAAGGTGCAGATTGTACAAATGAATTTTTGAACTGTTACCGAGTTCTTAAATACACTATGATTCATGTATATATAAATTTTTTAAATAAATATTTCTGGTAAAGCCTTCTGTCTCATTGCAATGATACTTTGATGGAGAAAGGATGTTCAGAGAGTTAATCTAACAATGATCTGTCATTATATCAGTTCATAAGCAGTGGATAGCCAAGTTAAGCAAGTGTCGCATATATTTTGTTTTGTTTTAAATTTTCTTTTGTGTACATGTTTGGGTTTTTTTTCATGGATGGGTCAGGGGTAATTGCAACAATCAGTCTAATTCGCTATATTACTGCACGCTTGCATTATTTAGTCGTTTCTCCTCATATGTGAGACTTATGAATGCCTTAATCTTTGCCAAACTGTATGTCTTACTAATTCTGACGCAATTATATCTTTCATTTGATACAAATCTCGGCTTTTTTAAAGTAACAAAGAAAACAGTGAAGCCAACAAGCTTTGTAAATTTTAACAAACATAATTTATTTCCCCGCAAAACACCGCCCAAATATTAAAAGGACTTACAATTTGTGAATATAATCAAAACCAACTACCAATCCTAGAATTGAAACACACAGGTGCTATCACTAAAATGTTCTAAATAAATTCAAGTTTGAGTCCCGACGAAGTTCAAAGATAGCGGACGATGACGTCAAAAGAATGAAGAATTGATGTCAAAAGTTATACGTTGAATTTTCTGAATCACAAAAGAATATTCCGGCTTTAGTGCTATGAATAATTTCCACTGAATATCTGCTTTCAAAGCTTTCATGGCGATCCACTTATTTTCCAGAGAATATAAAAAATTATTAAGTAACAAATACTCAAAATTTGCATTATAAACTACTTCTGATCTCTTGAAGGTACTTTTACGACTGAATCAAAATCACTAAAATCGTTAGTCTTAAACACAATTTTAGATCACGCAGTAGGTCACGTGTGGTCACTCACGACAACCCGCTTGACAAGTGCGCCCAAATATTGATGGCACGTGATCACGCGAGTAATGTATGTATGCCATTGATACTGACCAATCATATAAACTTCAGATTCACCAAATGTCTAAACGAGGTAAGCTAAAAATAATGCTAACGAAATACCTTTCGTTTGTGTACAAACAGAATGTACTTTTTAAAAAAAAATATCGTATATCATGATCATAATCATTATAACAAAATGGAATGAAACAAAATTAAAATAAAAAGAATTTTAAAACTAACACGCAGGCAGTTTAATTACAGTATTGAAGAAATTGTCGCATCAGGTACCATAGACAAAATTCCTGCTTAAAGATAATTAGATCTATTCATGGAATTGATCAATTGTTTTTTTACATATGTATGGAAATGCATTATGTGCCTTGAACAGAGAGTAAAATGGACTTTAAATTCTTGATTTCATGGTCAGATTTTTGTTCGATTCCAAACAAGAACTTGTATCAGTTAGAGAAGTAGTAAACTTTTGTTGTAGTGCATAATGCTGCTTAAATGTGACATTTTTCATTATCATGTCAGGTGAGTATTAGTGGTGCTTACTTTGGATTAGTTTTTGTGAATTCAAAACAAATAAGATTTATTGAATCAGAATGAATAATAATTTAAGAAACGTATGCACTAATATATAGGAACATAGTTTCATGTTCCTTCCCAGTCACATCAGGTCTGAAGGAACGACGATGATCATACGTGATTCGATACTAGAATAATAATTCCATTGTAGTAATTTATACAAATATTTTTCAGTAACAAGAAAAATACATGAATGATATTTTTGAATGGTTTTAAAAATATCAATATGAAAATGATGCGTTGCGTGAACGGTCAGAATAATTTTGCAATTTATTTTTTATTTGAATTTTATTCCGCTTTCCAAATAATATAATGGTTAAACCTATTATATATATCTTCCATACGGACGTACACATAGACGGACATACACGCGAAAGCTCAGAAATGTATATGAAGTGATTGAAATGTGAGAGTAATCAATTCGATGCAAAATACGGACGTGCCAGTCATTATTCTGATACCATACTTTGTACTTTCATATAGTATTCTCGATACAAAAAAATTTAATCACAAAACCAGGAAAAGGTCACAATGATAGCATAAAAAGTAAGCCTGCCAAGAAAGAAGCTAATCTATTATAACATCTACATAATAAATCCATTGATATTAGAACTACAGTCATGGAATGAATTGTCCCCATCGATAGACATCAGTGTTCTTATAAACACTGGTACAGTCCATTAACTTGCTAGAGTTGATTACTGCATTAGTTATGCATACCAACGGTTCATATTTCTAATTTTATAATCAAATTGCTACGACAATTTTAGTATCTAATAATAATGGACAAAATTGATTGCAGTATTTGTTGTCTGATAAGAAAATAATCACGTTATTAAATTATTAAAACCATTAATTTACAATAAATTTTCTAATATATCATGGCATTGTTTGTTTTGTATATCTTTATGGCATCTTTGATCTTTAGTCCATAACTGGAGATAGTAATGAGCTATAAATAGATTATTTATTTGTTTTCGGGTTCTGTATGTTGAATATTTTGACAAGTTTCCCAATGAATGATCTATTCAGGTGGGTGGTGTTGTGACATACGTTACGTGGGATGAATTGCGACATTGAGTCGTAACACGGTCATGGAGTATAGCTAAACACTTATTCTGATTCCTAGTTCCTTGTCCTAGTATTGTTTTTGATTTAATAAAAGACTTCAGCTGGATTTAATGTTGTGTTTAAAATTAATTTGAGATAAATCATTTGTTTGGATTGTTTTGCGGCAAAGTGGTCATTGACTAAAATATTATTTAAGGATTTATGTGAGTTCACGCAAAGGAGTTATGGACAATGATATATTATGATACATCGTGACTGTTGGCACTTCCGTATATTCAAGGAGATTGGTATATCAGCATATGTGAGACCAGAAATTAGTTTATAACACTATTAATCTGGATTTATGATATGCCATTTCATGAATGCTTAGGATTTAATTCATAATACTGTAGGTTCCTCCTAACTATTCATTTTATAACTTCGTAATCTAAATTATTTTTGCTTGCTTTTGCAAACCTTAATGGATCTGTTTCTTTTTGTTAATTTAAGACCATATAGTCGTAACACAGTCACAATGAGAGCGTTACATTTAAAAAATTAGAACTATTACGAATTTTGCAATGTGAAGTCAAAGGTATTGACGAGATAGCACAATGATGAATTAATGTTCATAGGACAAGAATAATTCAATTTATCCTAACGTCGCAATAAATCTGATATTTAAACATGCTTTAATAAAAGCATATGGAAACTTTACCTTGAAATGAACTATATTTTTTAGACAATATGTTTATTCTTTTATTTGTCAGGAGAAAATTGAGCCATTCAAATTATTGCTAAAATTGTATTTTCCCAGAAATAATAGCTGATGTCCTAAACCTTTTACTTCTTCAATGGATATTTAACATTGGATCGGACACTATACTTCATTCGCTATGTCGGCATGATTTCAGTCGCCCGATTTCAATACTCCTTTTATCAATGTATCCTTTGAGATGTACTTGGTGTTGATTAATAAAGAACATTAATATATTTTATATGAGGAGTATAATGGACCTTATATACAAAAGAGTCTAAATATTGTCTAACCCTTTCGCATGTATTAATTACATGCTGTAGCAAGATAACCGGGTTTGATTTTAGATTTATTACAGAACACTTTTCATGGTAATACAAATATGTTTAATGATGAATGACTTAAATGAAGAATGATGTTTAGTATGGTGTTTATAATTTTTAACGTAGCTTTAACAATTTTTCAGTCATATCGCTACGATGTATGCAGTGGGGCAGTTTATAGCGATGTCTAGCACTGGGGCATCATGCCGCAGACATGTAACATGATGTCCCACCCAGTCACATTATCCTGACACCAGGCCGACCAGTCCTAACACTAACCTCTTAATGCTGAGCGTCAAACGAGGCAGCTGTTAGTACCATTTTTGTAAGTCTTTGGTATGACTCGACCGGGAATCGAACTCACGACCTTCCGCATCCAAGACGGACGCTCTAACCACTAGGCCACTGAGTTATGACTAACACGTACATGTACAAGATCCAAATAGTTGACAAATTAACATAATCCGCACGACCATAATAATGCAACAGATATAAATACAAATAAATGACCTTAAACAGTACAAAGTCAAAGGTGAACGATTCACAGTAATTTCATACAACCATAACTATGATGTGTTTTACTTAAAATAGTATACAAAAATTGATGTGCTTTACACATATAGTAAACTGTATTCACTCAAATAGTGAAAAAATAGGTACTTTACTCAAATAGTAAAACGATGAAAACAAAAGGACAACTATCATACAAAATATAATTACTGTCCCAAAATCCTGGGTATAACAAACCCTAAAATTAGCCTACGGCTAATAGGTTACATGTATGGAGTAACAAAACACTACGTCACTATCAATTTTGGAAACCAGTTACACTTGTCAATCAAGCAGTCACCATTTCAGATAGTCACCGACCACCATTCAATTCCTTTGTCAATCAAGCAATTAGCGTCCACCAATTCGACCAAGGAGCCCTGAGTGGCCGAGTGGTTTAAAGCGCTCTCCGTTACGGATCACTGTCATCTCCCCTCTGTCTGCGTGGGTTGGAGTCTAACATTCGGCGAATGTGGATATGGAAGTAAGCTTGCCAGTAGCTTCTCGTAGGTCGGTGATTCTTTCCGTTGATTTCCCAGTTTCTTCCTGCACCACTCATACTAGCCGCCGTATATAGCCTGTCGTGTGCTGAAAAATGGTGTTAAGCCCTACAACAACAACAACAACAACAACAACAATTCGATCAACAACTCCCGATCACCTGCTACTTACAAAAAACACTGTTCACTCAGCTCTACGGCTACTATTATTCAGCTTTACAGCTGCTATGGTCAACTCCTATGGCTATCTCTACAGCATGTACCGCGTCGACTACGAACAACTGAAAATACATCTAACACCGTACACTATGCATGACACGGGCAAATACGATACAACGTAATGACGTTATATACGGTAAGTTTTACAAATTACATTATTGTCACAAGATTACAAAGCAGCAAATTGGTTCAGAAGTGAATCTACTCGTGTCCGATAAGATCCTATGGTACTAAAAGTTTATTAATAAAATGCAACTTTATATTGCTAATATAAAAGTGTTGCTAAGTCATAAACAAGAATGGAAACTATTTGCATTTTACTACGTAAACTGAATCTACATAGAAAATATACAAAAAAAATAGTACAATTCTTATAACTTATAATATACATTAGACAAAAAAAACAAATAATTCACAAATCTCATCAGATGAAGATGTACAAGTCTTTAAGTAAACTGTTTATTGATATAACGTTCCGTAATGTAAATATTTAGTCTTACGCTGAGGCATTTATATACTGACGATGCAACCCTACCTAGTCTGTGAGCTAGAAGTATTCGGTTCTTCCCATTGATAGCACTTCGCACGTGCGGCATAGGAAATATTACGAAATATTGTATAATGTATATAAATCACCCTCTGGTATCGTGGTACACACAAAAAAGGGAACCGAAGTACATGTATTTAATAAATAAAGGGATTTATACCGTTTTGTGACACTTGTCTATATGGAATTTCGCAGATGCATCCTATCTTTTAAATGCGTGAAAGTGAAGCCCAATAGCTACATAATCGGGAATGGACTGCATTTATATATTTTTTGCCGTCACAAGTATGGCTTCCAGCTTTAAAGAAAGGAGTGATCTACAATTACATTTAGGAACGTGGCAAAATAATGGACTGCGTTCTTGGTCCACGCAGTTTTGTATGAGAAAGGAAATAAAAACATTAGTGCATGCTACATTTTCTGCAATAAGAATAAAGGATAGAGAATGTTGAATTAATACCTATGATAATAGTGAATTGTCAATGGAAAGTTATTAAATAATGACGTTTACTATGTGGAAAATGTTTTTCATTCTTATGTTGGAAACTATGCGGAAAGATACTCAAAATACAGACGATGAATAAGATGAGGAAATATATCCAAATATTAACGCTGAATAATATGTGGAAAGGTATTCATATACTGACGTTAACTATGAGGAGACCATTTTTCAATGATGTTGAATAATATGTGTAAAGGTATTCATATACTAGCGTTAACTATGAGGAGACCATTTTTCAATGACGTTGAATAATGTGGAAAGTAATTTAAAATACTGACGTTGAATAATATGTGGAAATGTATTCATATACTGACGTTAACTATGAGGAGACCATTTCTCAAACAACGTTGAATAAAATGTAGAAAGTTATTTAAATAACTAACGTTGAATAATATGTGAAAAGCTGTTCAAAATACTGACGTTAAATAACACTGAAATGGGGTTTTACTTTAGTTGATTTTACTTCTCAGAGCTAAGTAGGCCACTCATTAATTGGGTCACGATTTGAACTTTAAAAGTGTATTCGCTTCATTTCAAGATGCCGAAGTCAGATTTGAGTGTCCAGTTTTTATATTTAGAATTTTCATATCGCAAAATCTCAAATATATTTGCATCTTAAATGGCACTTCATTCCACTCAGTCAATACATGCAATCAATTAATTGGTTCGTTATGATACAGTCTAATTTAATGATCCTCAACGAGGAAATGGCAGCAATCAAAATTACTAAAAGCTTTTTTATGACAAAAGATATTGTCAAACTATGGTATGTATTAATTTGAATTGGAAATCACCGTTTTCATAAGCAAACAAAATTGTTCTCTACTTTATGATAAATTCATATATAGCTAAATGAATAAATACATGTTTACAAAGACATACATACATACATACATACATACATACATACATACATACATACATACATACATACATACATACATACATACATACATACATACATACATACATACATACATACATACGTACGTACGTACGTACGTACGTACGTGCATATATATATATATATATATATATATATATATATATATATATATATATATATATATATATATATATATATATATATATATATATATATATATGTGTGTGTGTGTGTGTGTGTGTTGTGTATGTGCGTGTGTACGTGTGTACGTGTGTGCGTGTGTGTATGTGTGTGATTAAAAATATACAGGAAATCTACACAAGTAGCATATTGAAACAAAATAATGTATCTTCTCATACAAGTTTCGCACTATAAACCCTTGATTTTGGGACTGCATAACAATGACTTTGGATTATATAAGAAATTTTTGAACAGGCGAAAGAAAGGTTTGTAGCTTCTTAACATTCAGTCTTCATTGTCTATATCTTTGGTTCTTATATTCATTGTTGAAATACCTAGATTTTCTTCAAATTGATTTAAAAAGAGCATGTAACAAGTATTGAATGACAATCGTGTCAGCTTTAATGATGTTGAGATTACTGTCTAATTTATTGCGATTGTCTGCGTGAGTTAGCCACTTTTCTATATATGCATCGCTATCAAATTCATCTGAAGACAAATTATATCTCGAATCAATCATTATGTGGTAAACTCATGACTTTATCAGCGGAAAGAGCCGACGGTTTTGGTTGTGTATTTCAATTGTATGTATGTGTTCCACCATTCTGTGAAATATTTTTTAGTTCGAAATTCGTATGAAGCGATTGAGAATCCTTAATATCAGGTGAGAATAAATTGCCTTCAAAATTATTTAGTAAAACGTGGTAAGGAAAATTGATCAAATTACTGAATTTTTTTTAGTCAAATTGAATGAGTCAATTTCAGCTGGTTCTAACCTTATGGAACGTTGCAGCATTACAATGGTGATACGGATGGCTGCTAAAATTCACTTACCATAGGTACTCGCTTATAACGTGAGTCAGAGTGCAAACAACAAAGATCCTGATCTGCCATAGAATGGTGCGTCCGCATACTAGGGTATATGTTGCTTGTTCTACGGGATACATGTAACAAAATGCACAGATCCAGATTTGCAGACGCATTAGGCGACGGCAAATATAAATCTGTGCAGTTTACAGTTGCACTGGAATTAAAAAGAGTATATACGGTATGTAATAAGTGTTTAAATATTTCGGAAGTATATTTAAGATCAGAAATACAGAAAACATAATGGTTAAATATAATGTTCCGACTATATTTATACGTCTGATTTCAAAGATGCATGTCTGTAGCTATGTTTTAAAAATCATTTTCTCTGTTGTACAGACAGTTAATGTGTTTAAGCGTTATCACACGGGTACATAGGCCCACTTTGTGCACATTCCGTGATAAATGAAAAGTATACTTGTCAGAAGATCCAGTCTCTTCTACCTTATACCCCATGGGTGCAGATATGTATGTATGTATGTATGTATGTATGTATGTATGTATGTATGTATGTATGTATGTATGTATGTATGTATGTATGTATGTATGTATGTATGTATGTATGTATGTATGTATGTATGTATGTATGTATGTATGTATGTATGTATGTATGTATGTATGTATGTATGCATGCATGCATGCATGCATGCATGTATGTATGCATGCATGCATGCATGTATGTATGTATGTATGTATGCATGCATTTATTTGTTTTATTTTTTTTTTACTTTTTATTATAAGTTTATGTAGATAAAAAGGTTTTGTAGTTGACACATTTTCACAATAGTTACAATTTTCTTACTATATTACTTCTACTATTTTATCAAGCATTATACGTCTGTACTCGAACACAATCCACATCTTCTGGTACTAATCATAAAAATATATTGATTACTTCTCAAAAAACCAAAATTGACACAAATTAAATTAGTAATGCGGGTACTATGAATGTATTGTCCAAGAGACCGATGTCAAGATCAAGCGTATATTTTTTAGCATTATTTATTTTTCCCTGCGGTACCATCGTTAAATATTGTTGCCTTGGTTTCAACGGCAATAGATGCTTTGCCTGGGATAGGATTCAAATGCACGATATTGTAGAAGCACAATTAATTCATTTCAGTCGTCAATATATCAGACCAGATTATTCATGTTTTATTAA